TTCTTTATTTTTTTAAAATGTGTTTTTCAAATTTTATGTGGCTGCTGGCATTTTTCTTTTGCTTCTTACAATGTTCTCTTTCTCTCTGATTGTGTATTTCATACAATACTCTTGTGTGTATTTTATCCAAGGGATGATATATTACCTTGTCTTTATCGCATATTAATTGTCAAGTTTTACTTTCCACTGAAAAGATTTTTTTTTCCCTTTTACATGGTTTAAGAAATTTCTGTTGCCTTTAATTTTGCATTAATTGATAAGTTAATGTTTGTTCACCGGCTTACGATTGTGACTTTTGTAAGGATAGCCTCTTTTTTTTCTTTTTTATAAACTTATGAAAAGGTGCTTTTTAAATAAAGTAAACTGCTGGAGAATTAAACTGTCCTTAGACCAGCAGGTCTTGATTTCTGCTTTTCCTAAAAATGTGCTTAACTTTACAGGTCTCCCTCTCTCCTACACTTCAGGGCAGCTGTTTTAACTTTAATTCAACTTCATTGCATGTTTTCAACCAGAATATGAGTAACAGAGATTTACATATATTCTATAAATAAGCTACTTTGGATGCTGCAGACAAACTGTTACCCAACTGTTAACCTGGTTACGGGTGCTTACTTCCTTCATTTGAGTTCAAGATCCTTCCTTCACAATAATTCAGTGTTACATCTCCATCAATATTAAAAGTAATTGACTGGAAGAATTCACTCCTAGGTTGGGGGAGAGAAAATGAAATCCACGACCTGTTCTTAATTTTTTTAATATGATTGCAGCCAGCTCTCATTGTGCCTGTACTGAATCTTCAGATAAATGTCAGAAGAAAATAAGGATTCTGTTTCTTAGTATCACACAAGGAGAATTGTGAATATATATAGATTTGTATTGCAGATTAATCCAGTGCTGTTAAAGCAAAACTTGTTCTGAAGTTTTGTATTGCTTACACCTAGCTGTGGAAAAAAAATAAAAGCTGTATAACAATTAATGATTGTCAGTGATTAAACTGGTGGAATCCATTGCTAAAACATTGTTATAATTAAATAAGTATGGACTGATCAGTATCTGGGAAGGAGACTGTGAGCATCATGTGTAATACAAATTGGGATGAAATATCTTCTTCATAGTAAATGTTAGTTTTGATTACATTAAATCAATGTTTAAAAGAATATTAAATACTATTTTTAAAAAAATATAGAGCATTTCAAAGAAGCTAACTATTGAAATGCAAGAATTGTTTTTCAGCTATAATCCATGTCTTTCTTAATTTACTGGTAGTCCTCAAGTTACGACCATTCATTCAGTGACTGTTCTAAGTTATAACAGCATTGAACGAAAGGACTTATGGCTGGTCTTCCAAGTTCCTGCTGTTGCAGTGCCCCCACAGTCATGTGAACAAACTTTGGGCACTTGCCAACCAGCTCACACTTACAACCAATTGCAGCGTCTCACAGTTACATGGTCGCAATTTGCAACCTTCCCTACTGGCTTCCCACAAGCAAAGTCAATGAGGAAGCTGTTGGGGAAGGTTGCAAGTTGCTCAGGTAAGCCCACTCCCGCCTTTCTTCCCTCACACACACCACCACTCCCCTTCACTCATACACACTCCATGGCCTCTTTCCCCAGCCTCTCTGCACTCTCACACACCCTGCACCCTCTTTCCCCAGCCTCCCTGCGCTCACTCGCATACACCCTGTGCCTTCTTTCTCCAGCCTCCCTGCACTCACACAAATGCAAGGACACACCTCGCACCCTCTTTCCTGGCCTCCCTTTGCACGCACATGCGCACCCTGCACTCGTTCTCCTTGTGCTTGCATGTACACACCCCACACCTCTTTCTCCGGTTTTCACTTGCACACACGTACATACCCACCAGCGCCCTCCTTCCCAGGTCTAGCTACGCTTGCATGCAACCTGCACGCCCCCCCTTCCTGACTCACAGGTGGCCTGCACCAGGCCTCCCAGAACCTCCCCCACCCTCTGCAATGATGTGACATCGCACTTTTTGACCGCATCACATAGCAACAGCAATCCTGGTCCCAGTTGCAATCGTAACTCGAGGACTACCTGTATGTACTATACTATTCTCTCATATTTTCTTAATAGTAAATGTCCTCTGTCTTCCTCTCAGAAACTATAATCCTCCTTACAGAACCAAGATGAGAGTGTTTTATTCTCCTTTCTGTTTAAAAGTAGTTTACTGTCTTTTAAAAGTAGAATCCAAGGAACGAATTTTTCTTAATTGCATCCATTATATTTGCCTAAGTGGAGAATGTAGTACTGCTTGGTACAGCTTTGCTTGTCTCTAGGGAGAGGAAGTATAAGACTGCATTTTGCAAGTTAATTGCATTTATCCAGCATGGTGAATACAGCAGGATTGAGCACCATCTTCGTCTGTTTTGCGCCTGGAAGGAAAAGGAACAGCAATCATAATTCCATTACAGCTGGAATATATGAATATGTGTACTCGCATTCTTCCTGGATACAGATCACTCAGATTTGCTGTGGAGCATAGGAGTTATGTGCTGTAGAAAGACCATCAGTGTGAAAGGGATACTTCATCTAACCTTGCATGTTGTGTTATGAAAAATACAACATTCTGAAGTCTGAAGAGAACTGAATGGCTGTGTTAACTATACCATAAATTAAAGGTTGTGTATAAGTCTTGTAGAATGTGCTGCAGTGCACCTACTTGGAGGAGTAAGAAGGTAGTTATAAAAACCAACATCTTGGAAATCATCACATTTTTTTCTCAGAAATATATTTTATTAGATTTAAATACCGCATTCCTTTCAAGAATTCAAGTGATGTACATAGTGCTCCCTGTTCTTTTTTCCCCATGGGCAGGATAGGCCAAGGAGTGTGACTGGCCCAAAGTCATCCAGTGACCTTCTCCAGATGAGGTTGTTTCCCCACCCCTAGTGCAGCAATTTAACCACTACACCACACTAATTCTTCCTCGTCTATGTTCCTGCTGCATCTGACATTAAAATCACTCATTTTAATTTACTCAACAGAATTGGCAAAAGGGTTTTCAAATAGCTTTGGGTGGGGTGGGGGACACACCATTTCTGGGCTACAGATTATGCAGCCCAACATGCTAGTAAAGGAAATACAGGTAGTCCTTGCTTAGCCACAGTAATTGGGACCAGAAATTCTGTCACCGCAATATGGTCATGAAGGGCAACATCACATGACCGCGCCACTTAGCAATGGCAATCCCCAGTTACCATTGTTAAGTGAGGACCTCACATGATTGTGACTTCTGACTTCCTGCCAGCTTCCCCACTGACTCTGCTTGTGGGAAGCCGGCAGGGAAGGTCGCAAATCATGATCACTTGACCGTGGGACACTGCGACATTCTGAAATCTGGGCTGGTTGTTGAGCATCTGGATCATGATCATGTGACCACAGGGGCAATGCAATGGCCAGAACTTCCAAGGACCAATCGTAAGTACCACTCATTCAGCGCCATCACAAGTTTGAACAGTTGCTGAATGAGTGGTCGTTAAGCAAGGACCACCTGTAGAATACAGTTGGAATGAAAGGTATATTTTCATCTTAGGGCAACCTTTTCAATCTAGTCCTCAAAATTTCTAGCCAGGAGGTCAAATGAAACTATTACTCTTGAAATTTGATGTTTGGAAATGATGTTATTTTATAAAGTATTCCCCACCCCCATTTTATATGAATGCTGATCTGCTTGCATGTTTCTACAAAGTGTTTTACATTTATGTAAAGGTTAAGTGTTTGAAGTATTAAGGTTGAGTATTCCTTGTATTTGAAATACTAACATTAACATTTTGTAGTTATTGTCAGTATAGTTTTTCAGTGCAGTTTCTAATTACTAAATTTTCTTGAAGCTGATCTCTTACATTAACTATATTAATTAACATGGCCTGTGACTCTCTCCTTCAAGTTTTGTGATAATAGCTAGTTGTGTTCATGAGAGCATAGCATCTATTCATCAAAACAAAATTTGGATGTTCTTGAAACAGGACCTGCCATTTTAATCTGTGTAATGGATAATTACTTTGTGTACAGCTATATTGTCTTGGGAATGCTAATTGGATAATAAAGACTTGGAGCCATAGAATTATGTTTCACCTATAATTTTAGCCTTTATTTCACCTCCTAGGAGAATCCAGACATTTTGGGAGAAAGAAAATTTGTATTACTTAGTTTTTAGAATGTTTTTAGCCTAAAATTGGGGTTGAAATTTGTTAGTAATTGCTAATCATTGAGCTGTCTTTTTCTTGCTTTAATTTTTTAGTAATCAGAGTAGGTATCTGTGATTTTATTATTTTATTTTTAATAGTTAACTGTTAAATGGGTGATATGAATACCTGGGTTGATGGGGAGTGATTAAGTAATCACAGTACAATATAAAGTCTTTAACATGTTGCTGGAAGTCTTCTGTTTATTGTACTTTTAAGTAAACAATACAGATAGAATTAATGGAAATCAAATCCTTTATGACTGGTGGGAGTTCTATGTCACTCTTGGGCTAATAAAATGTAGTATGAGTGTGGTGCAGTTTCCTCTGAGTATTCAGGTACTGGTAAAAGCAATTTATATAAAGTAGCACCCAAATGATTGCATTAATAGTTACCAAATAATTACAACCCTGGATCTGGCTGCTTAAGTGCCAGAATGTTGTTGTGCTTCTTCAGACCTTGATTTAACCATTCTTGTTCATGTATGAAATAACTAGTTTTTTGAAGCATGTTTCTGGCTTGGGAAGTGAATGTTAAAAGAATGAGTAACTAATTTTGAGTTGTAGATTTCCTACAGTGACACTTTATGGAGCTTGGAAAGTATTCTTATTTGTATGACTTTTTGTTCAATTTCAGTTACCTTATTACTGCCTTCATGCTGGCCAATATGTTGTACTTTCAGTTCTATTCTCCAACTGTGTGTCTTGCTTGTTTAGGGGGTAGAAATACAGATAATTTAATCATGAATTCCTTAAAATTCCCTAAGACTGTTTTTTGTTTTCTTTCTTGAAACAGATAATATACCTGAGGGAATCTCCAGAAAGTGTGTACAGGCATTTATTATTTGGAAATGTGTCCTATCTTCCTTTCAGGTAAATAAAAGTATGCAAAAAATTTTTACACTGATCCCCTGACCCTTTGGAATATGTAGATCAGTGTTGTTCACCTTGGGAATTTTGAGATATGTGAACTTCAACTCCTAGTATTCTTAGCAATGGCTATTTTAGCCGTGGGATTCAGGGAGTTGAATTCCATATATTGTATTAAGGTTTTCTATAGTGGCTGTATTTCTTATGCTGCAGTTGAGTAGCTGTTCCATAAATATGCAGTCTTGCAGATGAGCAAAGTATTTATACCTTGTTAATTTAATTCTTAATTTGTGTGTGTGTGTTTTCTGTGAACTTGGCAAGGAACAAAAGTAACTAAGAACAAGAGAGAGAACCATAAATAATCAGTCCCCCCCTAATTGCAGTTTGCACCCATGGCTTAGCATAATGAATAAGCAAAATGTAAGCTATTATTTCAAATTAGCTTATTGCTATAAGACAGTTAACTATTTGGCAACCCTCTTAGCACCTCATGTTAAATTTAAAATATATATCAAACAAACACATTGTGACCTTATGTAATACTTGAACTCAGGTCTGTAAAAAGAGAGACTCCCTGTTCTCAAACATACACTCTAAAAGATACAACTCCAACAGGTAAAAGGATGGGATGGGAAAAGGAAAAGGGGAATAGTTTGATATGAATTCTTAATATTACAAGGCTATTAAATCTGTTTTCCTGCTGATGGAATGGGTTTGGATGATGGAAAAGTCTGATGGAACTGTTTCTCAAGATGATAGATGGTACCCATTTTCTTCTCTCCCTCTTCCACCTCTTGGTGGAATGGAATTTGTTTCTTCTTTTTGGATCAGCAGCCTTAATAAAGGTCTGCACTTAAAAATGCCATTGAATAGAGGTTATGCCCATTATGTGCACTGCTTTACTACTGTTGCTCTTTGATGTGTCAGATTTTATCATTTTAACAGCCTTATTTACAAGTCAACTCTAGCATAATAGTTCAGTATAACATTCCAGAAAAGCAATAAGTGGATGCTAAAGAATTGGAGAACAGCTGGTGGTCTTTCAGTCCTTATTAAACCACTTAGTGTTGATGTAATGAAAATGAGTATACAGAAGTATAGGCAAATGAAAAACATCAGCTGTTTTGTCTTGCAAACTGAATTTGAGCTCATATATATACTCCTTACAGGGATGCTGCATTTGGTTCCTGCAGTTTTCATCTAACTTTGCTTGACTGTTTCCATGCAATAAATAAGGTTAGTAAAATACATTTCAGGTTAGTGTAATATATAAAGACTATTCTTTATTTCAACTGTTGGAATCCTGAAGAAATTTTATCTTTGAAATTAGACAATTCAGGGAGATGTCAAATTCTGAGATAGTTCCAGGAGTGAATATGCAAGAAGACCCCCTCAAATCTTCTGTGGACACCTTTCCTGCCTCTGAGTTCCATTCTATATTATTCAAGCATTCTGACCCTCAATATTTTCATGGTCCAGTTAGAGTGTCTGCTGTCTGCATTTAACTTCTGTGATAAAAGCTTCATTGTAAAGCTGAATAGCATTTAAGCAGTAATAGCTCTTAAAAAACGCTTTTTAAGTGTTCAGAGTCTCCAACTTGGATTGGGTGTGTTGGATTTGAATTTACCATGCTTGCTAGAATACAGAAGTTGATGCACAGCTCATCTGGAAGGCTTCTGGTAGGAGTATTTAAGTAAGAGAAGTTACTATACTGATGATTGGTAAATAAAATATTTAGAAAGAACATGTTTATCATCTACCCTACCAGGTTTCTACATGTTAAATTCATTCTCTTATGGATTTTAGGCATTGCAGTATGGCTTCCTTGATTTCAATACATTTGATGTAGATGAATATGAACATTATGAGGTAGGCATCATTCACTTTTCTAGTAACTACTTACAGTTACTGTTGAGACTACATTTGCATAAAATTGGCATGCATTACTTACAACTCTTGAATTTTTTTTTAAATCTAAATAAGTGGAGTGGAGTGGAGAAAGTAAGTAACCAAAATATGTTTAGGTACACTTAAAACTCACATGACAGACCGAGGTGGCTTCTCAGCCTTTTGGCTAAGATCAAATGTGTGATAGCACGTGGTCTATAGTCCCAGATGAAATTGGAAGTATATATTCTTGAACACTACAAAACCTTCGCTTTGTTCACCAAAACAGATACAATCTAATGCTAAGGATATGTCAGAAATGAAGTGAAAATTGTGTTGTTTTCTTAACAGAGGGCAGAAAATGGAGACTTCAATTGGATAATACCCAAAAAAATCATTGCCTTCAGCGGACCTCACTCAAGAAGTAGAATTGAAAATGGTATGTTTAAATGACAAAGAACATTATGACATGCTGTAGGAAACTACCATATACCGAATCAGACTGTTGGTTAATCTAGTAGCTGCAGCTGCCCAAGATTTAGGGCAGAAGATTCCCTTAATGTAATCATTAATTATCAGAATGAATATTTGAGGGAGGAAAATAGCCTTGTATAGATTTGATTGCTCTTTTTCCAGTGAGTTGTACTTGACATAATTTTCTGCATGTGCTTTTTTCCTTCAAGGGTATCCACATCATGCTCCTGAGGCCTATTTTCCATACTTCAGAAGACATAATGTTACCACTGTAATCCGCCTGAATAAAAAGATGTATGATTCTAGAAGATTTAAAGATGCAGGGTTTGACCATTATGATCTCTTCTTTGCTGATGGAAGTATACCTAATGATGCTATCATCAAAGCATTTCTGAACATTTGTGAGAATGCTGAAGGTGCTATAGCAGTTCATTGCAAAGGTATAAAAGTGATGAATTCAGATAATTTATTTTATTTATTTATTAAACTTGTCCCTGCCCATCTCCGTCCAGTGGGGGACTCTGGGTAGCTCACAACATATTAAAACAATAAATAGATATACAATTAAAAGCTATACCAGTACACATTTACAGAAATAAAAGGAAAAGGAAAATTAATGTCTGTTTATTTACTTTATTAATCAAATTTATATGCTGTCCATCTCACTGTATAAGTGACTTTAGGTGGTTTACAAGTGATAAAAAAAGCTATTAAAATCTTTACAAAAGTATACAAAGCTAAAAGGCAGAGTGTGTCCTCAAGCCACCAATCACCCCCAGTACTGTGAACCCCCATTGGGTCCCAGTGCCAGTTGACAGACCCAGGTCTTGATGCTCTTCCGGAAGGTGAAGAGTGGAGGCCAGTCTCACCTCAAGGTGCAAGATGTTCCACAGGGTGGGGGCAACGGCAGAAAAGACTCTCCTAGACCCCACCAGTCGAAATTCTCTAGCCGACAGGGTCCTTAACATGCCTTACCTGTCGAACCTTTTATATATTTATATTTTTAATTTATAAATACACATTAAATTATGTATTATAATGTATATTAGTATTTATTAATAACTAATTAATCATTACTAATAAATGATTTTTTGTTGTTCAGTCATTAAGTCATGTCCGACTCTTCGTGACCCCATGAACCATATTGCGCCAGGCCTTCTTTATATGCTGTCCATCTCACTGTATAAGTGACTTTAGGTGGTTTACAAGTGATAAAAAAAGCTATTAATTTATATGCTGTCCATCTCACTGTATAAGTGACTTTAGGTGGTTTACAAGTGATAAAAAAAGCTATTAATTTATATGCTGTCCATCTCACTGTATAAGTGACTTTAGGTGGTTTACAAGTGATAAAAAAAGCTATTAACTTTCCCAGCATCAGGGTCTTTTCCAAATAAATGATTAATTATTAATAAATAAATACTAATAAATATACATTATAATACATAATTTAATAACAAATATAATGAATAATTTATATTTATAACTGTGTTTACAACATGTCTTACCAACCCCTGAGGAACTCATCAGAATTGGTTACCTGAATACTGCCTCAGAATGTATTTTTAATTGGCTTGATCAAAATTAGGTCATTTCACTCAAAAAGCTGAAACTACTTATACTAGAGGGTACTTTTTTCTCATTCTTAGGATAGAAGAGGTTATTCTGTCTTAAGCTACAACTACTGTGGCCTCTTGCTACAAATCTGATGACCCTGTCTTTGCCATTATCTGTATGAAAGCATGCTAATCTAATATGCTTGAGACAGGTTATGAAATGTTAATATGTGCCACTAAAAGCCTAATTTTCCAGTGGGCTGCATGCGATTGCTCCAAGTATTTTCAACTCAAATTATCGGCATAAATGAGTGATAACATAGAGTAGATCCAGGATACTGCTTATGAAAAACTTCGAAACCCCCCAAATGTTGCATATTGTTTTTGTCATCTTGAATTGGCTTAACAAAGATTTTTAGGATTTTTTCCTATTAGCAAATTCAACCCCCTTAGCTTTTTGAACAACAGTTTTTGAGGTTGTCCTATTTTTAAAATTTTTAATTGAAGGCCTCCTTATTAAAACCCAAATAAAAGTAAATTTCCTTGTGTTTTTATACAGCTGGACTTGGCAGAACTGGTACACTTATAGCCTGTTACATTATGAAGCATTACAGGATGACTGCTGCTGAAACTGTTGCCTGGATTAGAATTTGTAGACCTGGCTCTGTGATTGGAGCTCAGCAGCACTTCTTGTTGGAGTAGGTATACATTTAAATATGTATGCATGTATGTAATAGCAGGATGATTAAGTGTTAAATCTAGTAGTAGTTTGCTGTACCCAAGCCAGACTTCTCTAATCTGGTGTCCTCCAGATATGTGGTCTAGCCTGACCATTGATGAAAGGAATTACAGTTCATCATATCTGGAAAGTACCAGGTTTAAAGAAAGCTACCCTAGGCCCTAGCTTCACTCAAATGTATAATAGTTGTCCTATTTTCATGCATACATACATAGTAGGTAGGTGTTGGTGTACCCACATACAGGTAGTCCTCATTTAATGACTACAATTGGGACCAGCAACTTGGTCATTAAGTGAAGTGGTTGCTAAGAGAAACTGCAACTGTGCTTATGATCTTACCTCAGCTTTCCTTTGCTTTTCAGACCTGCGAAGGTTGTAAATGTGAGGATTGGTCATAAAGTTACTTTTTCATCACTATTGTAACGCAAATGGTCACTGAAAAAAGGCAGTCGCTAAACAAGGACTACTTGTGTATATTATATATATCATTGTATGTGTTTGTATGTTTCAACCATATAGCCAGGTAGAGAGTTACTAGTTGTTTGCTTTTTAAGGACATTGATCATTCTTATCACTTTAAGATCTGAATGGAATGAGACACTGCATTACAAACAACCTGCAGTTGCTGCTGTTAGTCAGAATTGCCCATATCTATTCAGCGACTGAATGTTTTTTACTTTATTAGGTTAAAAATGCTGGGTCCACGCATTATATTAAACCCACAATGTTGTTTGTCTATTTGTGGCTTAACAAGTTATATGAATCCAGTCATTGTGATTTCTACATCATGATTTATAACTTAGCACAAAAGGGAAAAGGCATTATGATTTACCATGCATAATAAGATCATAGTTTAGTCAGTATGTTAGCCTAAATTAGATCTATAGTTCCAAGTGTATGATTCCAAATGGTCAGTTGTGCTCACTAAACCTGTTCTCTTTGAAAGCCAATCCATTAATGCATAAAAGTAAAATTTAGCATTTGTTTTCAAAATTACGAGTTTCATTAGGTGTGCCTTTGTCTTTCCTGGTAGGTCTTTTTACCCACAAGCGCCATGTTTCTGCTGATTAGGGATGAAGGTGGTTTTTGCTGAGCCTCTCTGCATCCCACCGGGCTGCCTCTCAATAGTGTCCCAATAGCTCAACATTTTGGAAGAGGCACAAAGAGCTACGTAGGGAAGGAGGATGAGTGACAGTCATGGCCTTTTCCATTAGCAGACACTTCTGTTAGAGTGAGAGCCCTTCTCCAGATAGACGATAGAAATAGTTGTATGCAACCCAGGAGAGGCATCGTATGATTTCTAAGAAGCATACAGTGCTAGAAGTAGAACTGATGCTGTATCAGTGCCCGTGCAACTATTAATGTCCCATACTGAAATGACTTGATTTGAATTATAAATATGGTCATAAATTGAATTTAGCTGGTTTCTAACTCATTTTCTCTCTATTATAGGAAACAGTCAGAACTTTGGCTGGAAGGTGATATTTTCCGTTCAAAGCTAAAGAAGACTCAGAAGCTTGCAGTTACAAAAATCGTTTCAGGAGTAGATGACATTTCAATTAATGATTCAAAAAATCAGAATGCCAGCAGAAAAGATTCTGAACCGGTAATCATCCGCATGGTGTGCTGTTGGAAATCTTAGGACTGTTTTTTTTTAAATGTGGGTATAATAAAGCAAGAGTGGTTGGATTCATTTGTATGCTGTTCCGTATTTCTGTTCCTGTTAAGCATTCCAAGAGTAGAGAGAATAATGAACAGATGAGCCTGTTTGAAAGGACATTCTGCAAGGGAAGTATAGGCATAATAGTATTTTTTGCCGAAATGCCTCTTTTCTGCTGCTCAGGTTTACCTTTTGTCTTACTGATTTGACAGCTGCATTAACAAAAATTAAAATAAAATGCTCAGAACACTTGTAAGATCTGTTATCACTGGGGTAAAACAATCCATCCCTATCAGGTACTGTGCTAAATATGATTCTTCAATAGTAAGACTTGGAAGATTTGTTATAAATAATTTCAATGGCTTACCATTTATTTACAGTACAGTGATGAAGAAGAAACACACACAGTAACACAAGGGGACAAGCTCCGTGCCCTTAAAAGTAAAAGGCAGGCAAAAGCATATTCAGTTCCACTAACGTAAGTTAATTTTATTTTGATTTTGTAAATACAAACACCATTTTTGGAATTTATTTGGTTATGTTCCATGTTACTTAAAAAAGCTCATTCTAATTTCTTGTGATTGAATCACTTACAAGCCTTCTCATTATCTCATTTCGTTATCACCAGATTCTTTTGTCCTTCACTAAAAGGTACTCATGACCTTTCTCAAATGCTTCTTTAAACTGGATATTACACCAACATCTCAAAGCTTTTTTGTATTACATTATCAATGTCAATAGTATTGAAAAAGACTCCTCGATGAAAGGTCAGACTCATCATTTTAGTCAGAACAACCTTCTGTCTAGGGATCTTTGTTTAGGAAGCTGTTGCCAGTATAAGCCCTTGTGATGGGTTGTGCTATATCTTTAAATGGGTATGATAAGTTTGTTTTTATTGGGGTTAGAAAAAAAAAGCATAACTGGTTAAAAATGCCATGCTTTTAACATAAACATTTGAATATTGAAAAACAACAGTTTCCTCAGTGCTACATTTTGTGAGTACATCCTAAAACATGTAAAACAGATTTAATCTGTTAATCCACCCACAGAATGTATGTAATATTGGTACGCCATTTTGCAAACAAGGTTGTTCTTGTGCATTTTATTTAAATAGTACTTGAACCAGTCTAGGGTTAATTCATACTTTAAGGTGAAAGTGAGTTGCAGAATCATTGCAAAGGTGCTCCTTAAAAACAGTTGGCCTTTGCTCAGTGAGCGGAAAACATTTTCTGTACTGAAAATTAATAGACGTTTATTTTCTTTTAAAATTGCAACTGGCTGAAATGTACCACTCATCTGCAAAATTCTTGATTTTCCCACCCCCTTTGACTTCATGTTCATCTCTTCCTCCCCACCCTCGCTCCTTTTTAGATGTCTCCTAGCTATACTGGCCTCTGCTCTGAGTAGCATTGTCATCTGGTGGATTGTGTGTGGCTCCCTTCTTCCCAACCTGCTATTCTGTCTAGATGGTTTAAGAACGTAGGTCCATCAGAACCTCCCTTGGGAGAGCCACTGTGTAAGTGTCCCTATTACAATCTCTTCAGTAGCTCATTTTCTTGCCTTATTCATAAACGCATTGCATCTAGCTTTTATTACCATCTCCCCCCCACCCCCCTTCATTTAATCTCTAGCTACTTTTACAAGCAAAAGGGGATATAGTACAAGGGGTAATTTACCTGTCTTAGAATTTTCCTTTGAGATGGAAGTCTCTTCTGTTCTGTGGGTTGATCCATATATTTTGTGCAGAAAACCTTTATATGCAGTGCTATTTTGAATGTATGGTGGGATGGCTTCCTTTTCAGCATGTGAAAGGAATTTAGTCTCTTTCTGGAATCCTTTGAGGTTAAACCTTGCTTGTGTTTTACATTTATATTTTCATTTCGTAAGTGTGAAGACCTGTAGACAAGTAAGCACTTAGTCTAGGCATTCAGTGCTACAGTTCTGTTATACACTCACTTCTCATTTAGCGACCAAATTCCTTTCCAATGACCAGGTCGTTAAGCAAAATGGTTATTAAGTGACAGAGACATGAAGATCACTGGTTGCTGCATTCTCATTCAGATAAAGTTCTCTCATACAGCTGTGCCAGCATTATTCTCACTCTGGCGTGCATTGTCAGGTGCATGAAATTTGGTCATAAATGCACACATTGGTCAGAAAATGAATTTTCTATTACTATCGTATTTGCAAATAGTTGCCAGCCAAGGTAGTTACTAAACAAGGAGTGGGTGTATGTCCTTTTCCTTCCCCTCTTCCCCCATTTCCATGAATACTTAGAAGTAATGGAAGCATTCCAATTAGTAAACATAGTATTTGGCTCTAATAGTAATTAAATTAAAGAAAAAGGTAAACATTTTTTAGTGTGCTGCTGTTCTAGGCCATCAGTAGGCAGTCTTTTCAGTCTTGGGGGCATATAGAATACTAAGTGAGAGGTCAAGGCTACAAGCCTATTAATATTTATTGACTGACTGACTGACTGACTGACTGACTGACTGACTGACTGACTGACTGACTGACTGACTGAGGCTTCTGTGCTGCTAAATTCCCATAGGCTGTAAAAGTTTACAAACCACCACAACAAATGTTAAAAATTAAAAAAAAAAATCAAATGTATAAACACCCCCCAAAACAGCAGGTGAAATGCCATCCCATGGTGTTAGGCAGAATCTCCACATTCCCAAATACCTTCCCAAAGATCCAGGTCTTTACAGTCTTTTAGAAGCCCAGTATGGTGGAGGACCACCAGATATCCAGGGTAAGCTATTCCAAGAAAAGGGAGGTCATCGCCAAGAGGGCTCATCCCCAGGGTCAGTGGCATCCTCAAAGAAGGGACCTTCAGAAAGCCCTTATTACCTAATTTCACTGGATGAACAAATTTAATCCAGAGAAAATGGTCTCATACATATCCAAGTCTGAGCCACAAAGGGTTTTAAAGGTGACAACTAGCATCTTGAGTTGCATCTGAAAGCTAATTGGCAGGCATTGCAGCTGTTGAAGAAGTGGTATCACATGGATAAATTTTGATGCACCCACAATTACATGGGCAGCTGCATGCTGTACCAGTTGAAGTTTCTGAATGATCTTCAGAGATAGCCCATGCAGAGGAAATGCAGTATTCCATCTGCAAAATGATTAAGTGACTATGTACAAAACTTTGTGATACTGAAATGGCTGCACTTAATGCACAAGGTCCAATTTGAACAAAGAATCTGCTACCCACAGCCTCCATGAGCTGTTTCAGCAGGAACTGTGAATCTGGGAAAATTCCCAAATTGCCAGCCAACTCTGTTCAGGGCAGTGCAGCCTTATCTAGTATTAGAATATTTCTAGATTCTGTTAGCTATCAAATACACAATCACTCATTCTTGGCTAACATTCAATCTGAGCCTGTGTTTCTCCACCCGTATCTTTCCAGCCTTTTCTGTTCTGTACACATTTCCAACTCGCTTACATGCTCATACATTGTTGTCATAGACACATTTATACCCTTCCCTTCCTCTGCAGTGTCCTGCTGCAGATAATCTGAGACCTTAAATTTCCTGCCATTAATTTCTCAGCTATTCAGTGGGACACAGAGCCACAGTTGTTACCAACAAGAGCCACGTGTGGCCTCTAGACTGTAGGTTGCTGACCACCTTCTAAATGTTTTCTATCTTTCTACCTATCTTAACATTGTTTCTTCTTGGCTTTAATTTGGATGGTAATGAAATACGGTTATCAGAACAGTATAATTATTTGGATTACATTAGGCATATTAGGCATTGGACATTATGCCTCCTAGTGATCCTTAAGAATATTTCACATTTCTCTATATTTCTCTTAGAATCTTGCGTTTACCAGCTTATGTTTTATTGTAGTGTTTAGCTCTGAACAAGATCATATTCAGCTTGAGAAAATTGCCCATCATTTAATCTGAATTATAATTACTGAACGATAGCACACTCTATTTTTATTTTAAAAATCACAAAATATGTGACATTTGTACTGTATATATTGTCATAGATGTATCATCCATAAGGTGCTTGAAACACTTGTGTCATCAAGGTTCCTGGGGATGAATAATTCTCAATTTTTCATTCTTGACTATAGCAATAATAAACTATTCACTCCAACTCAGTGAGATGAATTATTGGATGGTGACACATGTAACCAAGAAGATGAGTCATTTAGTCATTAAACTATTCTTTGCAATTTTCATTACAGTGATAGTCATACAGTAGATGTTGTTCATCTGAAAATTAACAGAATGTGGGAGATGAAATACTGTAGTTTATTGTTGGAAGAAAACTATTACCATCTCCAATTTCCCTTCCAAATGTAATTTTTGTTACTTTGTTGAGGGAGGTCTTTTTTTAATAGTAATTTTATGAAACATTACAATTAAAATGATAAAAACTAATACAAACTAAGAAAAAAGAAAAATAAAAAATAGTACCAAAAATAAGAAAATTAGAACAGAAAGAAAAAACAAGAATATAGTAAAGAAAAAAAGAAATGACTTCCCCCTTCATCACAACAACTATGAACAATTTTAGTAACTTATCACCTTCTCTTGAAATGCAACAAGCGAACTCTTTTCCCCATATCTCTTATCTAAAAGAAATCCTTAAAACCTCATCATTTGACTTCCAGCGGGGACAGTGGTGGCATAGTCATCTCTCCATGAGAGGGGGGATAGCACCACAGCTAGATCAATGGCTCACAGTAAGTGCTGGCTGCCCAACTTGCTCCAGATCAAGGAGGAAGGGAGAAATCAACCCAAATGGTCCCAGGGACAGCCATTCCTCATAAACCATTCGCAGAAATGGAAGCTTCTGTGAACAGCTTGTGAGCGAGCGGCTGGGAGGCAGGGGATCCATCTTTGTTCACAGTTGTGGTGCAGCCTAAATACAGACACTAGAGCTGGCCAAACCCCATTTCCAACCCACTTTGGAATATAACTATTTTTTAACAAAAGAGAGACCTTCCTTTGTAACAGATAAGTAATTCTCTTGGTGTTTTTTCTTTATTTCTGGGACTAAAAGTTCAATAGAATTAGAGTATTGTGATATGAACAACTCACAAAAAGCTGGAAGATAAAAAAAAGATATAAAAGTTGCTTATGCTGGAAGGGGAAGATTTATTTGTTATAAGTTTAATTATATGAAATTCCATCGGTATTAATTGGATTTGATTTTTCTATGGGAAAACTTTGTTTTTCTGTGATATGCCTGTTAATTGGCTGGATTTTCAAGACAAAAGAAGATAGTAATTTGAGCTTTTTGTGTATTCCCTGTTGGCACGTGCCCGCAATTACAGCTTGAAAGGCACCAGAGGGCGTGAAGTGTCTGCTTACTTTCACTTATACAATATCTACAGTTGCTTGCTTTGGGGGGAAGAAAAAAAATTGGCTAGAAGAGGCCCTTTGGAGCAGCCATTAGAAGGTAAAACATCTTTAAGCTTACTCCAATCAGTGTTTGATGAATTAGGAGCTAAATTCAAGTCCCTTAAAAAAAAGATAGAAGAAAGATTGGATAAGATGATTAATTTTGAAATGGAGGTAGAGATTGACTTGAATGTGGATTTGGAGTTTAAAAAAATGCTGGATTACAAAAGTGATATGAACAAGATGTGGATCCGAAAATGGATTAAAAATGCCAGAGGATAAGAGTGATATGCAAAAGAATGCTAGAATGGATTTACAGATGAAACCAACTGATGTCACCCTGATTAAAAGGGACATACAAATAATGGAAAAGAAGATTGACTTGGAAAGACTTTTTATCTTGGATTTGCAAAAGGAATGTTGAATTGGTGAGGCTGTTCCTGGGAAGAGACAAAGAAATTTCTGGGCTGTTTCTGCGAGAAGATGAGAGAATGATGGGGAATCAACTTGTGGGACCCTATTTGAAAGGATTAAAGATTAAGCTTTTTAAAACTGAACAGAAGGTTTACAATCTGAATTTATTTGATTATGGTTAATATATATGTTGAGGTTTTTGGTAGTTATTAACGGGAACCTTTGTCTGACCAGGATTGAATGACGAGGTTTTAAGGATTTGTGTATAAAGGGGGAGAGATTTCATTTGCCTATTTTTAGAGAAAATGCTAAATTGGATTATAAAATGGATTTATTTTTGACTAAGGTTAAAATATATTTGCTATTTACGGAATTTTTGTTCTTATATATGATAACTACAGTAAGGTTTTTTTTATATGTAGAAAGGTGGAAAAATAAGACATTACCTACAATGGAAGAA